ATCCAGATAAAGGATTATTTTTAGGCTGTGCATATATGGTATGTATGGAACATAAAAGAATTTTGTGTTTAGGCTTTGTCCTATCTATCCCCAAGATATTTCATTACATGTATACAAGCATTCAAAATTCTAAAACATTTATGTTTTCAAACTTTTCAGATAAGAGACACTCAACCTGTATCTTTTCCATCCTGTTATTTTTAGCCTACCTGTGTCCTTATAGTTGAAGTATCTTGTTAAAATATAGTTGAATACTGTTGAATTATCTTGTAGATAGCATATGGTTTGGTCGTGTTTTTTAATCAGCTCTACAAATCTCTTATTGAGTTGGCATGGTTGGATTATGTTTAGTGTAATTGATGTATTTGAGCTTAAGTCTGTTGTTTTATTTTCTATTTGTTCTGATTTGTATTTCCTATCTTCCTATGTGTCATCTGAACATTTTGTAAAATTCTATTTTTAACTGTATTGTTTTTGTAAATTTGTTTGTATGGCTTTTTAAGTGGTTATTCTGGGTATTATGTTATATCCACATAACTAATCACAATCTACTGATAGCGTTTGACCAGCTCACATCCTTTAGCATCCTTTTAACTTCCCACAATATAATAGTCCTAAATGTTTCCTCTACATGAATTTGAAGTTCCATCAGATACACTTGTAATTTTGCTTCATCAATAAAATATAATTTACAAGACTCAAGACTCAAGAGAAGGTAAACTTACTGTATTTATACATTTACCTACCAAGTTCTTGCATGATTTTCCTAGATTCTTTTTCTTTTCTGTTTAGCAAACTTCTTTCAGATATCCTTCTGGAAGTAGGTCCGTAGACAAGAAATTCTTTTGTTTTCCTTCATCTGAGAATGTTTTGAGTTTTCTTTCTAGAAAAAAGGATATTTTCACTGTACTCTAGATTGACAGTTCCTTTCTATTTATTTATTTATTTATTTACTTACTTAATACAGGATCTCCCTATGCAGCTCAAACTCATAGTGATCCTTCTGTCTCAGCTTCCCCAGCACTGGGATTACAGGTGTGCACCACCACTATGCCCTGTTTCAGGGCAGCACCACCTGGTTCCAGGGCTGGCATGGGATGCGGTACCAGGGATCAATACCTTGCCAGACAGGCACTTAGACTGCTCTCTCCCTAGCCCAATAATTCTTTTTCTTTCAATACTTGAAAAACTGGGGGCTCTGTGTTCTGGTGCCCTATGTTCTGTTAAAAATGTGCTGCTGGGCCAGCCAGATAGCTTAGTGGACTAAAGTGTTTGCTTAGGCAGAGCACAGGGACCAGAGTTTGATCCTGGGTACCACATGCTGTGCCAGCCCCGCCCATAGGGTGCACTAAGACAGCAACTGAGACTGGGCATGGTGGGGTGCACCTGTAATTCCAGCACTTGGGAGGCTGAAAACAGGAGGATCACTAGTAGTCCGATCTATGTAGGGAGACCTTGTAGACCCTGTACTAAAAACATGTTTTTAAAAAATTCTGTTATCATTCAGATATCTCCTCTGTAGGTTTTTCTGTGACTTTCTTTTTCCGTTTCTTTTTTTTTGAATGGTAGGGTGGGGAGAGGTATTGGGGATTGAACCCAGGGCATGGCACATACCACTGAACTGTAACCCTTTTTTATTTTTATTTTTTTTTAAATATTTATTTATTTATTTATGTGTGTGTGTGTGTGTGTGTATGTGTGTGTAGCCAGCTCAGCCCACCTGGGGGCGGTGCTGGCTGGCATGTGGTGCTGGGGGATTGAACCATGGTCCCCGTGCTTTGCCAAGCTTGTTCTAAGTAGGTGCTTTAGACCACTGAGCCATCTCATCAGCCTCACCCTTTTTTATTTTGAGACAAGGTTTTACTAAGTTGCTTGGCTTAGGAATTTAAAATCTTCCAGCCTTAGCCTGCCTAGTATCCGGCTCAAGTTATTTTGTTGTTAGTTGTCATTGATTTAATGTGAATTTATATGAACGCTTTTAGTTTATTTTATGTGATATTTGCTTAGCTTCTGTAATGTATAAGTGTGTGACTTTTGCCAATTTTCCAGTTTTCAGGTATTCCTTTAGTCTTTTTTTTTTCTTGTAGAGCTCTGTGAAACAAATATTAGATCTTTTATAATAGTCTTTTATCATAGTCTTCCATGTCTGTAAGGGTTCATTCTGCCTATTCAGACCTGTCCTTTCCTATTTTCTCTGTTGCTCAGGCTGGCTCTGTATTAATTTTTTCTGTTTGTTTTTCTTTGTTTCTTTTTTTAATGTATGTGTTACAGGGTCTCACTACACATCTCAGACTTGTAGTGATCCCTCCGTTTTCAGCCCCTCTGTCCCTGGGATTACTGGCATGTGTGCACCACCACAGCCGGACCCGGTTCTCGGTCATTAGCTCAGTGTGCCTGGGGGCAGGGCCAGCACAGGATTTGGTGTTGGCTATGGAACACTGGTTCCTGCACTTACCTAAGCAGGCACTTAGCCCACTGAACTATCTCGCCAGCCCTTGTATTAATTTCTACTGTTTTATTTTCAATTTCACAGATTCTTTTGTCCACTCAGTTCTACTAACAAGGCCATTCACTGAGGTTTTTTGTTTGTTTGTTTTTTTGGTTGTTGTAGTTTTCCAATTTCTAAAATCTCTATTTGCTTCTTATTTATATTTTCTGCTTCATTGCTGAGAATTATTGTATTTTTGACTCTCTACTAGACCTCCTCCTGACTCTACCCCACTAAGGAGGATGAGAGCTATGTTATTGCTGAATGTGAATGGAACATCACCCTGGATAGATGAAAATACTAGCTTTCCTACTTAGCCTGCTCTGACTCTACAGAGGATAGGGAGGGTAGATGGGGTCTGGAGTACTCCATTATAGCTTGGTAAGGATGGGGTAGTGATTTTTCTACTGAAGAAGAATGGTTAATTATAAGTTTTTGGTGTTTCAGGATTGTCCCTTTCTTCTCTGACCCCTCTTAGGTAGAGACGGTTTTGTTTTGGTGGTACTTTGGGGATTTTTTGACTGTGCCCACATCGGTCACATTTGTGGGTTGCCTGCTTTGTTTTGTAAGTCAGGCATATATAAGACAAAAGAAAACTCAGGCAACTCGAAACTGAGAATCCTTGGGTTCCAACACCCCTTGACAGTCTGTCTGCTTTCTTCTTTTCACCATTTAGGGTCAACTTGTGTTTGTATGTATGTGTATATATGTGTGTGGGTAGGTGGATAGATAGGTAGGTAGGTAGGTAGATAGATAGTATTCCAAAGTTTTTAGTTGTACATAGGAGAAAAGGGGGACAGTATAGCAACCAGTAATAAACTTCTAGGTAATAAAATGTCAACATGGCTCCCTAAATTTTAGTAGCATGATCTTGTCTATTTTGGCATGAGTTATTCAAGAATATTATGTTAAAATAAATGTCTAGATAATTTGATTCTTAGCAAGCCTTCATAAGGATGATATAGTCATTTTTAAATAATTATCAATTAAGGCCAGAGAGATAGCTAAGTATCATAAGCACCTGCCTGGTAAGCACAGGGTCCTGAGTTTGGTCCCCAGTACCAATACATAATTAATAAATAAATAAATAAATAAATATAAGTAAGTAAATTAAATAGTAGGTAGTATCTGTATTATATGCATTCCAAGTTAAAAATGCAGAGAAAAAAATATATATGCCTTTATAAATTAGTGAAAGTAGAAAAATTCCACGTCTAGTATCCTATTATATCCACAGTGAAAATTATTATTAAGTTAAAGCATTAAATACAAATCTTATAGGCATTAAAAATAGGCAACTTGAGAATATATATGCACTGTAGTTTAGCTTAGGCCATACTGTACATATTGTATGAACCCTGTGCTTTACTGCACATTTGTGAGGTGGATAGCCTACATTTCTTTCCATATTTCTGAAAAATTTTTATGAAGCCATATTCTCTGTAGGTAATACAATTTACTGTGTTTAAAAAGGATATCTGGTGCTAGAAAGATAGCTCAGCTGTCTAAGCGCCTGCCTGGCAAGTGCAAGGACCAGAATTTAATTCTTAGTACCGATGCCGTGCCAGCTCCAGAACCCTGGGCATGCTGTGCAGGCCACTGAAACCAGGCATAGTGGTGCATGCCTGTAATCGTAGCTCTAGGGTGGCTGAGACAGGAGAATCTCTATGAGTCGAAGCTTTGTCGCAAGACCCTGTACCAAATAAATGAATAAGAGATCTAAAAAAAAAAATTTTAAAGGATATCTGAACATTTACTGTTGCTGAAAGGTAAAAACAGTGATTTTAATAGCATTTATTATTATTCATTTTCAAAAAGTCTGGGAGACAATTGCTTTGATTGTGCGATTAATAAAGAAATGTTTTTTTTTTTTTTTCTTTTGTTTAGCTCCTTTACTATGATTTTTTTGTTTAGATCCTTGACTGAATTTGAGTTTGGGTAACACTTTTCATTCTAAGTAGCAGATAACTTTGTCAAAATACTTCTAACATACTTCAGAGTATGTGCTAAAATGTGAGAATACATAACCTGGGAACATCTTGGATAGATACAGAGTTCAAAGGATCCAAACATCAGAGGGAAAAAATTGTCTCATTTTTGTAAAAGCTTTTGAAATTTAATTTCTACTGTTGACAAAGTCACAGGCACTATTAATCCAAACCACATTTTTATATCATAATTCAGTCATGGCAGATATCTCAAAATATTGTTTCAGCATATTTCAACATAATGATTGCTTGTTATTGATGTTTAAATGTTTAAATGAATATACAACTAATAAATATTAATTTTTAAATAATACATTTGAAAGAAATACATCTATTATTTCTACTACTATATAACAAATTTGGGTTTTTAGGAAAATATTTAGGTACCCATTTTGAAATCATTTGGTAGCCTTTGTAATTGTGTGTGTTCCATGTATCTGTTTAGAAGCATCATTTGGCAAATTGTATGTTTTTCTCATGTGCTCTGGTCTACCCGTAACGTGTCTATTTTTCTCCTTTTGCAGCATCAGTCACTACGTGATTGTCATGTCCATGGCCATCTTTCTGGTGTTTCTCAACGGTCTGGCACAGCTGCTGACAACTAAGAAGCTCACACTGTATGGCAAACCCAAAAGCCACCTCATATAGTGTTGCTGGATCCAGCATCTGGTTCCTGTTTATCATCCTCTTTCTAACTTAAAATCTCATCAAGAATTCAATAAGAAGATGGATATAAGGGCCAGCCAGATAGCTCAGCAGACTAAAGTACCTGCTTAGGCAGGTGCAGTGACAGGGGTTCGATCCCCGGTGTGCTGTGCCATGCCAGCCCCCGCCCCTGGGGCACACTGAGACAGAGATTGAGACCATGTGCCTGAAATCCCAGCACTTGGGAGGCTGAAAACAGGAGGATCACTACAAGTCCAATCTGTGTAATGAATCCCTGTACTAAAATACATTAAAAAAAGTAATTTTTTAAAAATGATGATGGATTTAGATGTATAGTATATTCTTCTCCTGTACAAAATTGTATTTGGAATTCTGAATTTACAGGTTATCTTGGATAAAGAAGCTGCATTTTTCTCAGATTTTTCATTCACTTTGAAGTAGTAATTATGTCTGCGGGAATGCATAGTGAAACACTCTCCATTTTCATTCTTCCTTTAGCTGGTATCTCTTTTCAGTAACCTTCAAAGCTCTCATAGCAATCTGATCAGCATGGCACAGCGTCCCATATATCCAAAGGAGAGCCTGTGTCTATGGGAACAGTATTGATGGCATGCAAAATTGTTGCTGCGGTTGAACTTAAAGGAGATCATAAGCCGGCATCAGAAGTACTTAGCAGCTCTTAGCACTGGTTTTGTAGTAGTTCTCACTACTCAGTAAGGCAGGGTATGTTATTTCAGATTTACCGAAGCCTTGGCAGAAAAATGTGTATGTTTGTCATTTTTCTTGAGAATGTATTAGCACTGCCTTACTCTTTTTAATGCTGTTTCCAGAGTTTTCAGTCAACTAGCTAGAGGCAGGTTCAGCTTTTACTCCCACTTCCCCTCATTTCTAGATTATCACAGAATTTGCGGGATAAAAAAGTGGGAAGAATATTTAATATTTGTGTCTTATCTAAATAAAAAATTAAGGGCCAGCCAAGTAACTCAGCAGATTAAAGCACCTACAAGCAGGCACAGAGGCCTGGGATTTGTTCCCAGCCTGCCTTACTGGCCTGCCCCTGGGGTGCACTGAGACAGCAGTGGAGACTGGGTGTGGTAGTGCTCGCCTGTAATCTCAGCTCTTGGGAGGCTGTAAACAAGTGGATCACTATGAGTCCGATCTAATAGTGAGACCTTGACTGCCCTGTAGACCCTTCCCTAAAAAATACCAAAAAAGGGGGAATTTTTAATTGTAGACTCACTATATGTTACAGTTTTTTAATGTATTATTTCAACAAGATCCTCTAAATTAGTGATTAAAACTTCTTGAAAATATCCTAAGAATTCATGTTAAAAGAACAATTTTTGTGGCTGTGAGATAGGAGCATAAGCCTAAAGTCATCTCATTAAATTTAGATTTCCATTTGTAAATTAATTTCAGTAGACTAAATATTTTGACTAATCTTTATTTGGAATATCCATACAATCACCTCTATATATCACTGTAGAGTTCACCTTTTGCCCGTGATATGCCAGTGGGCACTGATGCTGAACTTCGCTGCTGTGTATCCCATTTAAAAAAATAAAATAAAATGCTTTTGAATTAAGTTATAGCATTACTAATTTGCATTAATGAGTAGGAAGTGTTCTACAGCTTATTAGATATTTCAAATACGATTTAGGAAATCAAAATTCAGGGCAAAATACATTTCTTAATCTTTATGATAAACTATAGTTTTAGTATATTGTGATTATACTTTATAATACAGCCATGAAAGAATTCTGGTATAATAAAAGTATCTATGTTAATTTAGGACCTTATGATTCAGTCTGTAATACAAAATATAGGTAGATAATTAAAAGTCTGCTGTGATGTCAGAAAGAATCCATCCGTGTATCTTCATATAATCTCATGATTTTTCATCAGTTTTTCCACATATCCGAGAAGACTGATTACTATATAAAAATGTATCACAAAAAAGTATCACTTGTCTTTTTATATCTAATTTTGCCTTTTGTCTTTCCCCAAACTTTTATATAAAAAAATTAATACTTTACTACAGTGTTGTAAAAGATGGCCAGGGCCTTATTTTTATTATGTTCCTCAGAGCATGTTTTTTCCTCGAATCCTGTTTTGGGGTCATTGTGAGTTGGCAGAAGTAGAAAGCGTCCTAAAGCCCCAGGGGAGGTGCCTTTCTACACTGGGTGTGGCTGCCCTCTGACTTGGTAAGGAGCCTTTTCCAATCCATGATTTCTCAACAATCTTAGTGTTTTGAAACATGTATTTTATTTTTTTTCAAAATTTTATTGATAAACAGCAATGAGACAGTTTCAAATCAAATCGGAAGTACAGTTTCAACAAATAACACACTGCATATATTCTTCTTAGTGGTTAATTGCT